TTCGTAAAATAACTTTTCTGCTTCTACGAATTGTATTAATTTAAGTCCCTTACACAATCCCATAGTTGGCACAGCTCCAAAAGATAACAATACGTGTCCGAGAACATAGATAGATGAACCATAGAGGATAACCTGAAAAATAAATGTAAAATCTTTTATAGGATATTTACAGTATGATTGCCTTAAAATGAGGATCTTAGATACTTTTCACCTTTCTAAGCACCTCTGAAGAAACTATTCATATATAAACTATTCACAAACGAGCGCTTTGAGGTAAGACACCATGACGGCCACTTGGGATATGTGAAGCGTGGCGCGCGTTGCATGAGAGCCAACTGTTAACGAGTTCGCTCTCGCTAACAAACAAATCTTCTCAATTTTGATGCTTATCCATAGCTTTGGAGCGCTCTCTTTGATTTTTCTCGCTTACTTCAACGCTCACTGCAATTCCACATTTTCAGGCGTTTTCGAAGCCTTGAAAAGTCATTTTTTTGGCTTTGCGCTGACTAATAGCAACCAAAAACCTCGATATTTGATTATCTAAAGAGATTAAGATTATCTAAATTATTTTGCAATAAATACGCTAGAAGGTAGCCATACACTATTCTTTTCGAATAAAATTTGCAAATCACAATCTTTTGACTCTCCAATTGGTTGTCTCTCTACAATAAAGCGGTACAATGCAAAGCGGATATAGGTTTTATGATTAGTTGGTCCAACTATTCCATTGATGAAGTCATGATAAAATTAGTATCTCGAGATTTTTGATAGGCTATCATCAGGCAAAACCAAACCAGTTCTTTCAAAGGCCTGAGAAAGCTTTGGAATTGCAAATTCTGTAAAGGAACATTGATGAGAACGCTCAAAAAGTCATTTGCAGATGTGGGTTGAATAGTTGGCAAAAATGCAGTCATGGAATTGAATCCATCGTTCTTTGTCTTTGAACCAACAAACTTGCCATCGCTCGACTTTGCGAGAATGCGCGTAGCTGATGCGGAAAACAGATTAGAATTGGAGTAAATGGTGTACATCAGTTATGAATAGTCACTTCGACTTTATTGCATTCTCTTGTCGATATGAGCCTTATGAATAGTTATCTCTGATAAAAAAAATCAAAATTTCATTTTTTACTACTTCTTGTTCACTGTTCCCCCAAGAAACCTGGAATGCTAAATTTGACCAAAGAGTAACGAATCAACTGAGAGTCATCTGTGAGTTACAATGGTGAGGTAAGAAGGTGTTTAAGGAATCCAGACATAGGAGCTCGTTTCCTCGAAAAGCTTTCCATAGGATTTTTAATGAAATGAGCATTGGTGTGCTGTGCGTCAGTTCTTTACAGCACTATCTCACCTTACATCGTAACTTGGAGTTAACTTACACTTTCATTTCATTTCTTACCTTAAATCGTCCAAGATAGGAATCGGCAAGTACGGATCCGGCTAAAGGAGCCAAGTAGGCTAGGCAGGTAAACGCATGGTAGATCAATGTTGCAAAGCTAAAAATGTAGAGTTTGAACTCTGATCAAGTTTGAAAGGTTTGTCAGACTGAATTTGTAACTTCTTTGAATACTTTTTTTTTGAAAAAAATGCTTTTTG